TTAACACATAAGGACATGTGAATAGGTAAATAAATCTTCATTTAGGAACGCAATTTCTTACCTTTACTTTGTTCTGCTGTTTGCCTGTATTAAATCATTAACATACACGCAAAGTAGTTAGGAGAGGAGGATGGATCTGGCAGGAATAGAACTTAAGCTGCCAGCAGTGTAGCGCTTGCTGTTTTTCTGATACTGGTGTTCGGTTTGGCTGGCTGCTGCCAAGTCTGCACCTGCATAATGCTTGATTGTAGCTCTGCATGTATTCCTCTTAATATAAACAAATAAATAATATCTTCTGTTATTTACCAAACAACCAAACATGAGGATTACTTCAAAGTCATAAGTAGCAATCCCTTTTCTGTTCTAATGCTGTTTTATAATTTCTGCCTCATGCACAGAGGATGCTCAGGCTTCATTCCTCAGCAGAAATGTCATCTATATCTCTGTGTTCTACCTTGGGTTTAACTTGCTGTTTAGACCCCCTACTCAAAATGCATATCTGGTATTTTGGTTATGGATTGTCACATAAACAGAATGACTGATTAAAGTAATTTACATAGAAGCATTCCTGGGGTTTCTGAGCAAGGGAAAATACACAGAAGCACATGGCACTTAATTACTTTGCTTAACAATAAATGTCAAGTTAAACCTTTTTAAAAAAAGATGAATGCTGTGCTTAAGGAAAACGCAATTACATTTCTATGCTTTGAAATGTTTTACACACTGTATACATTAGAGGGGCAAAGACATTAACACCTCTGTACATGCAAAGGTGCTGACAGATTTCAGATGCTACAAGGCAGGCTTTTGTAGCCCTGTCTGTCTATTGCTTGCAAAGGGAACTCGTTTACTGTAATGTGCTGTTAATCTGAGCTCATTTTCCTGTGTGAAACCACATTTGCATACACACTTCTGGGAACTCGCTGAGAACATGAGGACAGTGGTCCCGATTTGGTAAATTGTTGCATATAAATAGGATTTGCATTCAAATTAGTGTGTTATATCACAGCCCAATTATGTGTTCCATTTTAATAACGTTGAATTAATGGCAAAAGTAGATTTCAAAAAACCACTCCTGATTTTATGTTCCAGTTCTAAATTTAATTAAAAATGTCTTTCCCCTCTTTCTTTCTACTATGCTGCAGTTTAGTGACAGACCTGGTATTTCTTCTTCCATTAAATAAAGTGTACACTTCTACAACAAATTGTCCAAATTACATTCAATAATGTGTTTAATAAAAAATTTTCATACTGCTGTATTCCTGTGGGAGAGTAATGGAGGAGCAACTGAATGACATCCAATCCTTGCAGAACAGAAGCAAATAAGAGTATGTCCACATTGAGAAATGGGGTTACGTGCAGCATTCCCCAGCCCAAGTCTGAGCAAATCTATATGTCTAGACACTACTGCTCACTACCAGGCAAATAGACTAGCTCAGTTGTTTCCAGAAGTTTTGGCTGTATCATTTTGGTGCAGCTCTCCCTTCTTGCCCTGAATTACAAATGAAAAAGAGGAAAATGAAATTTTGAGGATAATTACTTGACTGCATTCAAAATAAAAAACATGGTTAGTTTTGATTAGGAATGGTTTTCCAATCTAGTTTGCCATCTGACTTTCACCAGTTCAGCACCACGAGCAGTGGCATGGCTCAGAGAGGTTTGTGGAGGGTATTTCTCTTATATATTCAGTACTTAGGGACCTTGGCATATTTATTATGGCTTTTTCTGAACTTGTGGGGCAAAATCCTGTCTGCCGCCTACTCTGCACAGTGGCAAGATGTCCTCTCCACTCCTGCTGGAATGGTGTAGCTTCTCCTTTTTTCTGTGCTCAAATTTCTAAGTATTAAAACAGACTACACTTAATTTGATAGGCAGCTCATTTCTTTTTATTTTCAATCCATGAATTTGAAGAAAATATGTGAAAGAAGATGTTTACACTGCTACAAATTAAGCAAAGCATTGTAATTTAATTATACTATGTGTTAACAGAGTGTTTTTCCTGTTGCCTGGCAATGAGATTTACCATGAGATTCACCATGTGCTTAAGACTCCTTTATTAACTTCAGTTTTCAAAGGTTTGTAACTTTATTAAAAAAACATTATTTGTAGGACAATGCATAAAGTGCATGTTGGATGTTTAGGGGTTGCTTACTAAAGAAGTTTGAGGCACAAAGCTCTGGTGCCCTCTGATTTCTGTACCCTTTCTCCCCTACTACAATATGGGGTAAATTCTGAAAATAAATTCTTGAGCAAAACTTTGTTTATCCCCACAAATCTGAATGTCTAGTTAATGCTTTCATCTGTTGGTGTTTGCTGTCACCTCCAGTAGTGTTGCACAACTGTTAATGCTTGGTATGTTGGGTGATCACATGGAACTTGATGAAGGAGACTAGTGCTTGAAGAGGTTGGAGGAGGAGCAAAACATTCGGTAAGGCTGAAAAGAAAAGCTCTAGGTCAGGCCCAGAAAGTCAGTTTGTTTCACAGGAGGAGCTAGCTTAAAGTTAGCTTCAATTATATGCAAAAGTAGACAGCTTTTAGCTTGAGGAGAAAATGTTTTCCTTTCTAGTTACCTCTGATAAGGGTGGGATTTGGATTGTTTTGTACTACTCCATATGTCAGTGCTGTACCTAAAAGGACTTGAATGTGAGCTCCTGGAGAATAGGGCTGAAAACTACTAAATAGCCAAGTTTTTTTTCCTAAGAATATATCCAAGAACCAAGTGGTTTTGGCAGACAAAATGATTAGAAACTGTGTTAGAATGATAGTAGTGCCATGCTACTCATGGATGTGTTTCCAGACTGCATCTTGCTGCAAGGCAGAAAGCAAAAAACCAATTTATTGGTTCTATTGTGTAGAAGCATTTAAGGAAGGAGACTATGATTACTGTAATTGTATTATGTATTGCATATATATATATGGACTTAACAAAAGATGCCAGAATCAAGCTTCATGAAGAGGTGGGAAGGGGGAGGTGTTTTGAATTAATGCATTAATCCTTTTTAAAAACTAAAACTGCCTATACCTACCTGGCATTTCAAAATGGTTGTGATTATTATGAAAGACTCGGATTTTGCATATTGAGATTTGTACATGTAACTTACAGAAGATCTGTGTGTTTAGTTACAAGTCTTCAAGTAATGTGGCTTTATGCATGTTTTAAAGTACTACATCTATGTAATTTAAATTTGTCACCTTTATGATGGTTTATTTTTAATTAAGAAACATTGAAATTTGAAGTTCATGCCTTTGTGTGAGTAAAGTACTTTTTACTGGACAAGGAGGCATTCATCAGCAGTGGCATTTATCTGGTGAATAACTAAGCAAGATCAGTTAAGAAAACTAGAGTGAAAACCAGACCTTTTTTTTTCAGATAAAATGACTTCTCTATGCTCAATTGTTTCAGTATGTATATTTTTGCACATATGTGTAGTTTTTCTTTGGAGTTATGTAGTCTCAATATGATTATGAATAGTAATTGATTTTAGTCTGCTAGATGTAGGGTTTTTTGACAAAATGCAGATATTATAAACGACATAGATCAATATCAAATGTGAAAAAATAGAGCATTTGCTTTGGTTAACAGAAGTGGCATTTCCTGTTTAGTTAGACTGTCTTAAGCATGGTTTAGTGTTCTTGCAGCCTTTGTGTAGAAAATGAGAAAAGGGACATGTGCCTGAGAGTCCTTAATTTAGACACCTAAAGTTAGAATTTTCAGCTAACCTTTATCATCCCTGTTCTCTCCAAAGTGCTCTGAAATCTTCCGTCTTCCTTAGTCTGCCTTGAAAAATTCCTTTTCTCACTGGAGTGCTTAGTGGGTTAGTGATCTGGATTTCATGTAGGATGTGCTTCCCTAGAAGATGATCATCCATACAAGAACTGAATGAAAATGAGTGAGTGTTGCCCTGACAGGGTCTTGTATTCCATGTAATAACTAGGGGACTGGCAAAGTGTTGATTATGTTTTGCTGTTAAAATGACACTTGAGGAAATGTGTAAAACACAATGCTCTAGTTTGGCATTTTCCTGTTTTAAAGCAGCTCATACTGTTATATCTTGTATGTGTTGTATGAATCAGAAACATACCATATAATTCCATTATATCTGTTGAGAAATACTTAGATAAAATATAGGTAGGCTGTCCATTATATAGAGTAGGCCTAGGATCATTTCTGTTCTCATTAAGGAAACATTTATCTCGGTGCACTATGCTCTAGGGAGAGTTTTTTCCTCTCCTGGAAAATCTATCCTAGTAAAAACATGTTAAATAATCACAGCATTTTCATAATGGAGTGTAATATCTTTAATGGGTACTCTCATTTGATGTCTAGCAACAATTAAACTGGCCTAATTTTGGGATGTTAAGAATGTTGTCACTCTGTATCATTATTGTAGGTAATTTTAATTTAACAAATCTGGGGTGTTCTGTTTCTTTATTTTTCTTTTCTTCCAACACCTGCTTTTCCTAGGAAAAAAATCCGGTACTGGTAGCTCTGACTTCATAACAACAAAACATAAAAAAAAATGAAATGTGTATGTAGTAAATAAACTACATAGTAGTTTCAACAAGTGATAAGATGGAAGGAAAGTAGTCTTAAATTTATGGAAATAATTACTTAAGTGATATTTGTTGCACAAATCCCTCATTTTTAGCCTGAGTTTTACCTGACATTTGCTTCTAACCCATGATTAAACAGCTTAAAGTGAGCATCTTAAGTCTTGGTAATTTTTTTTTTGGGAAATAATTAAATAATAATTATGCCAATGAAGTTAATAATAAAGTTGTACTCATAGTTTTGAGTGAACAGCAAAGATTGTGTCTCAGGACAATAATGTCTTGATCCTGTGCTGAAAGTGTGACTAAGAGGGCATCTCAGTATTATTCTTTTACAGGTCCTTGGTTCACTTGTTTACATTACAAGAAACAAGGGCTGCAATAAACCACAAAGTGCCCTAAATAAAAATGTGTAAATCTCCACATATGTTTATATTGTTATCTTCTAGGTTGACTGGGGTCAACTGGACTACTTAGTGATTGACATGCCACCTGGGACTGGAGATGTACAGCTGTCAGTATCACAGAATATTCCAATTGCAGGTATGTATATTGTTGACTGTTTCAGAGATTTGTAGTTAATTACAGTTCAATATATTTAGAAAAAAACAGTCAAAAATTAATTTTATTCTTTCCAGCATGCTGAAAGATTGTTTTATCAGTTGTGTGGTGTTGGAAACATTATCAGTGATTTTAACATGTTAGCATTACGGTTGTGTTGCTTTCTTTTAAGCTAAGTTTTGAAGAGATGGAGTCAGCTGTAACTCTTGAAGGAAAGACAGTCTTGTCAAAACCTGCTGAGTTTTGTAGTAGAAAATTTCCTTCTCTGTACCTACTACATAGTAAATAGAATAAAATAAAAGAGTGATTCATACCCATTTTCCTAGGTGCAGTGCCTAGTAGATTACATGTGTCAGTAGCAAAGCAGGAAGGCCTTTAACTCCCAGGGTTTAAGCAATGAGGTGAAACATGACTATGGCACAGAGTTTTTTGCTGAGGTAGAATTTAATTGGATAATGTACATAAGGGCAGTGAAATTATTTCCCCTTTCCCCACAGAACTCTTCACTGCTTTCAGGAATGTGAGTGGTTATGGTGGTGCACTAGTTCCTCTGGGACAGAGAGGTGATAGAAATTACTTTAATCCTGTATGTCTTCTAAATTTTGCTGATGCCTGATTTTTATTTGAATTGAAATGGCTTCACTTTCTTGAATTTTATTGAAATTTTATTGAAATGGCTTCACTTTGTTCCTACAGTTGTTCAGTTCAGCTTATTTTTTCATCAATCCTAGCTTCATAAAATTAGGAGTGATAGCATCACTTTACATTTGTATTTCCCATTAGCTGGTTTTGTTGACTGTGTTGAAGCTGACTTTTGCTGTTTAATAAAAACAAAGCATTCTGCTTTTGATGAAGACAAACACAGCAGACAAGGAGTGATAAGATATGTAATTCCCTGTGTTCTTAGTGGCTTGATGAATTTCTGGTTTAGGAAGAGTTTTCTCTCTTGTTTATTGTGGCTATTTTTCACCTTCACTGGAAGGATGAATTTTTGTGTATTACAGCTTGAACTTTTTCTTGATTCTTCTTTCTTCTTCTTTCTTGTTTTGCTCATTACTTGCTTTCTGCCTCTTCTCTCAAAGAATGCATCACATTATTTAGTATACTTTTATTTTCTTCAGCTTGGTTCCTTTCAAGTGTGGAAGAGAATGTTACAGATCTTGATGATCATATTTTTGGAGCAGTGTACAGAATTGATTTGGTTTTTGCAATTTGTATTTTCTAAGCATTCTGTTGTCTTTTACTTGGTTACAGAAAGTATTTGTGGTGTGCATCTCTGTTCCCTTTCTGGTTTTCTGATTTTTTCTTTATCCTTTGAAGATGCCTTGAACAGTCATGGTATTAGTGGAATAATTTCTCTGTTTTTCCTCGGAGACAACATATGTATCTTAGTTTAGTAAATTTAAAGTGCATTATCTAATTTGCATGAAAGTTGTTCTTTGATTTGCATTCATGCATATGTGAGATATAGTATTTGCATTATGATTCTTTCATTATTAATCTGTGGCTTCCTTGGGATAGACAGTGTAGAATATTTTAATTTTGCCTCTAAATAAATTTACAAAACCTGCACACATATTGTTGCCAGCCTCTTACTGAATTTTCTGTGAGTGAGAGAAAGAGCACTGGTGAAGATGTTTTGTTTCTGGCAGGTTTGCCAGAAACCTGTAGCTTTGCAACATCTGAGCACAACAGAGACACTGCTATGATAGGTGAAATGATATTGGGTTTTAATTTCACAAGACTGGTTTCTTTTCCTGCATCACAGGTTCCATAGCTTTCTTGAGTCAAGGGAGACTAGGGGAATACTTAACAGGTGTAAGAGCAACACAACAAGATATGTCTTATAATTCCAGCAGTCATTAAAGAGACTGTCAGCCTCAGACAACCTTGGCTAGAGCAGGAGTTTTGTGTGGGTACTTTTCCTTTAAAAGAAGGTGGAAAAGGAAACTACTGTGACTTTTGGTTTTATTAATCTTAGTCACTTTACAAGGAAACACCTCTTATTTAGTGTATTAATCTTTAATAATCTGTAACTTTGCTCATGTTGCAGTCATTCTTCAACAAACTTGTAGATGAGGAATGTTATGGTAGCTTGAAAATGTGGTACCTATTTCTGCCTAAACACCACTGCTTTCTTCAGATGGAAGTGTGCTTTCCAAATAGAAATCCAGGGTCAGTCTGGAGAAAATGGCTTTGTTCATGTCCATTATTATTTAATTTGTATTGAGTTGTACTTCCTTACTTCTTCTTTATTCTTCTGTTCCATCATTTGCCTGAACAAAACTTCCAGAAATGGGTTCTTTAGCATGTATTGAGCATGCATGGTTGGAAAACTTAGAAACATCCTTAAACATTTTCCAGCTTTTAAAGCATTTTTAAAACAGAGGGTTTCAGCTGATATTATGATGTTTGCTTTCAAGAGATAGTGTGAACTAATGATATTATGAAAGATAAGGCTTGTGATTCCTTTGCATTACCTAGCTGCTAAATTGAGAAATCTAACTCTGTGGATTTGTTTGATCATTTAGCTAAAGGAGGCATAAATTTAATAAATATTATTGGAGATGGGTAATTAGCCTCTGTAAAGACTGGGAGAGTAGTTTATTAATCTCTCCCTTCAGAGTGGGAGGGCTGTGTGGGAAGCAGCAAGAGCATCTCTGTTCAAGAGGCAGTCTCAGAGCCCTGCACAAGCATTTCTGCCTTGTGGAGAAGCTGAATTGTGGGGGCTGACCATTAAATTAGGCTGTCTGCTGCCCTCTCCTTATTAACGTTTAAGTGAAGTCACTGTTAGTGAAGTGTGACAGCTTGACAGCTCTAGAGACTGGTCCTGTCTCAGCTGGCAGTACCAGCTCCAGGTTAATACAGGAATTGTTCCATTTGCTAAAGGTTTGTCATACTACCCTTTTCTTTGGATATTGAGGTGCCATAGCAGTGAAAACCATTAGACGTATACATCTGCCCAGTGGGAAGCTGACTGAGACTAACAAAGAATTTCGCATCTCACTGAGCAATCTTAATAATTACTGACTGTTTGTAAAGGAGACAGAAAGGTAAAAGGCTTTAGGTTTTATTTCAGTGCTCTTAATTTTCCCACCTTCTGGAAGTAACTTTTTTCCCCGTACAAAGCATATATTATAAACTTTGCAATAATAACCTCTGAAAAGGTTGTTAATAGGAATCAGAAAGGCAATTAGTCAAGGTAAGTGAAGTGAAAGCCATGTGAATACTATTTTGTTTCTCAAGTTCTATAAAAACAGAAGCATTGTCATTGCTAGTCATACAGGAAATTACTTTTGTCTCCTCTCATATTTAAAATCAACAGAACACAGAGTTCATACCATTTTTAATTGCCTTATCCTAAAAATGGTGTAATTTTTCTGAATGTTTGCATCTTTCAGCAGTGTGTATGTCTTAATTATCTCCTGAATGCCTTTTTCAGGTAGGGCTGAAATATTAAAGGAATTTTTATTAGTTCAAATGTAAATTTTCAAAGAATTGTAATTAATAGGATTTCTTTTGGCAGCAGTGATTTGATAGATTATTTTAAATAAAACCAAAAAGCATATTTTTTCTCTGGTGGTTAAACATTAAAAATCCTATTTCTATTCAATGTACATTGAATAGAAGAAAGTAAAAGGATCTCACCAACTTGAAGACATTTGGCATTTTTAAATTCATTGTTATGTGGCACACCAAACTTGCAAACCAAATTATTTACTCATATTTGTGGCAGTGTCACACAGACAGGGTGTAGTCTTGTGCACAACTATTTTATAGCAGTGTGTGGGACTGAACAGAACCAGATCTTGGCTCAATATATAATAACATAAAAGAACACAAGAACAGGGAGTTGCAGGTGATAAGTAGACTGTCGCTTCAGAAATGAACATTAAAAAAAAGTAAACGGAGAATTTAAAATCAGTTTTAAAAAAATACTGATGTTTTATAAATTTGTGCATGATTTAGCATGGAAAAGAATTGTGACTTGTATAAGGGTGACTTTTGAAGTTTTCTGAAATGGAAAGCTGAGTAGGTATGGTGCTGTTCTCTTGTCTTTTCTGAAGACAAATGATCAAAAAAAGCCCAGTGCTGCAGTACAAATTGTGTGTAGCATACAGTTTAAGAAGTGTATCTGTATTCTGTCGTTTTTTTTTGTGTGTTTGTTTACCCCTTGTTGCATGTCTCTTATGTTGGTGCACACCACAGATGCAAGGCATCTGATCTTTGCTTTTGCTTTAATGGTAATATACAATGTTATTCTCCATTTCTGAGCTTGCTTTCTTCTTCTATGGTGCAGGTACATAATTAGTTTCTGCAATGAATTTTTGAAGCTGTTTTACGGGACCCACTTCGGTAATAGTAAATTTTACTTGGTCTAATTCTGAATGGCAAATATTTTTAATATCATATTTTTGATGTAGATTTACTCTTCATTTCATGCTGTATTTTGATGTTGTAGATAGCTGCAGGAAAGGAAAGGCAAGTGAGTTTAGGATAGATTAAAAAACAGAAAAAAACCCTGAGTCACACCAGTGGGGATTTAAAAACAGTTCTTTGTATTTATCCAAATAGAATTTGCGTGTTGGAATAGTCTGCTTCTGTTATCAAAATAAATGTAGTTGACGAATGCAAATTATTGTCAGGGTTATCATGGCTTTGGACACTCCTGGTGCTTCATTATGAACTGTCAGGCTTGTAAACTTAATTTAGAGATCAAAATATAGTATGAGTTTACACATTAATACCTCACATTCTTTTAATATAAATTTAAATTTCATTCTTGACTCATGGAGTTTGATTTAACACACATTGCCTGTTGAAGCTGAATTGATAGTGTGTTCAGCGCAAGTTCCTTAAATTATATTGTTTCTGAAAAATGGTTTCCAGGTATTCAGGAAAAAATTGTGAAGAATAGAGGCTTTGCAAACGGAGTTTTCTGAGGTCTGGCAGCAGTGGCTAAGTGTATGCTAAGTGCTAGA